TGTTAATGCTTATTTTGTTCTGCAAGTCCACAAAAAACTAAAAGAACAAAAGCATAAATGCTTTCCTGTACGACAGAGACTTCAGCCACCCGGCAGAGATACGAGTGAAAGAACAGACAACAAAACCAGTGAGAAACCAAATTTATTGACCCATAATCTAGTAACCTTTGATTTAAGTGTTTATTTTAAGTACATTTGATGTGTATGTGTGAGAGAGAGATAGAGCAAGATCTGCAGCGTTGTAACTAAGTCTGAAAAATGAAACTTTCCCCGAAATTTGTCTGAGTATATAGAGGAAGATATAATAATAATAATAATACATTTTATTTATATAGTGCTTTTCATAATACTCAAAGACACTTTACATTAAAATCATCATATATAAAAGCAATACACTAAAAACATAAAATACACAATTATGGTCACACATTAAAAGCAGTTTTGAACAGGTGGGTTTTGATTTGAGATTTGAATGTGGAAAGATGCTTATAGATATAGAGCTTAAGTGTCATGCAAAACCTTTTATTATTAAAGAGTACTATAATACTCTATACCAGAGGTATTCAACAGGGGTACTGCAAGGGGTCGTGAAATTTTTGGTTGATTAGACAATTTTTCATATTTTTTTTTAAAAACATTTTTTTGAATTTTTTCCCAAACATGAATCTGTCCATTATTTTAAATGTAGTTTTATAAACTTTGTTCAGGAACAGGGCCACGCCCAGAACACCGCTCATTTCCTCTGCACAGAGTATTTAAGCACAACGAACCCATTCACTCCCTCTTCGACTCTTCCCTCCCCCGACATCCCTCCCCCCAACCCCATTTTTTGTCATCCTATTTCTCTATCTCTCTCTCTCTCTTGTAGGATTACAGGAACAACAGGGGACTCTGCACCGCCAGAGCTTAAGAAGAGACGGCCCCCACCCTACAGTCTCCAGTCCCCCCGTTCCCGCCAGCTGCCGGACATCAACGGCCCCCCATCGATTGCCTAACCTCCTTGTTTCTTCCTGACATGCCTTCATCGCTACCCTACATACCTTCATCCCTACCCTACATCCCTTCATCCCTCTACCCTACATCCCTTCATCCGTCTACCCCTACCCCTACCCTACATCCCTCTACCTCGACCCCTACCCCACATCCCTTCATCCCTACCCTACATCCCTTCATCCCTCTACCCCTACCCTTACCCTACATCCCTCTACCTCGACACCTACCCCACATCCCTTCATCTCTTCATCCCTACCCTACATCCCTTCATCCCTCTACCCTCCTCCCCTTCATCCCTCTACCCCTACCCTATATCTATGTCATCCCTCAACCCCTTCCCCTTCTTGAATCCAACAATCATTCCACTATGCAATAAACCTCTCAAAACTCATACTGTTATTGGCATGGTCCTTGTTAGTGAATAGTATTGTATGCAAGATAACAGGTATGTTTATGCATGGCAGTGGCACTAATAGGCCATCACTCATTTTCGTTTCCACATTTATTTTTAAAATAAGAACATCAATTTGAATAGCTTGTACGCATGATTATCATGCAATTAACAGACAATGTTGGTATTGGCATTGGTATCAGTTGACACGGTATGCTTATAAATGGCAGTGGCACGGTCACCCTACTCGCTGTACCTTGCACATGTTTAAAATAAAAACATGAATATATGAACCTGTGTATTATTTGAATAGCTTAGTATTGAATGCACAATAACAAGGTTTATACATGGCACTAGGCCCAGTTTAATATAAAACACAATTTTATACAATATATATAGCAGGGGGTCCCTGCTCCATCAGTTTGGGCGTCCGTGTGAACTCATATTGTTTTTGTTTTAAAATGCCGGTTTTAAACGAAAACGTATTCGTGTTGATGTAGCCTTAGTCTTACTCTCAGTAGATGCCATTTCGCCGTAAAGAACCAGTGATCGGCAGAATCATTTCTATGCATTAACATTCAGGAGGTGATTTGCAATGGCCACTTGTGGTTGAATGTGGGTGTTTAGAGGGCGGGATATGAGGCTGATCCATGCGAGGATAAATTAGGCTAGACCTACTTTTTAAGTGTGTATTTAGGAATTAACTACAATTGCCAGCAATAATTAATCATGGCCACAAGGATAAATTTGTTTTTGGTTCCACCATTGATATTTTTGATATATATGAATATCACCTGAACACATATGCATCAGTCATTGTATGGAATTATTGAGAAGAATATTTTTATAGCACCACAAATATTCAGTTGTTAGATATTTTCTCGGTCCAAATGTATGACTTTTACTTTGAAATATCTCTTAATTAGTACAGTAAAAATATCTGATTTTCTCTATGGGAGGAGTCAGAGATGTCTTGAACACATATCAGTCATTGTGTGGAATTAAGACGAAAACTCTTTTTATAGCACCTCAAATATTCAGTTATTAGATAATTCTTGGAACAAATGTAGGACATTTACTTTGGAAAATCTCTTAATTACTACTGTAAAATTGTTTAAATTTCTGTATATGTGTAGTCAGAGATTTCCTCAACTTATATGCATTAGTCATTGCGTGGAATTATTGAGAAAAGTATTTCTATATCACCTCAAATATTCAGAAATTAGCTTTTGAACGTTCAAATATAGAGCATTTCCTTTGAAAGATCTCTTAATTGGTAGAGTAAAAATGTTTGATTTTCACTATGGGAGGAGACAGCGACGTCCTGAACATAAAAGTATGAGTCATTGTCTGGAATTATTGAGAAGTGATGTTTTATAGCACCTCAACTATTTAGTTATTAGATATTTCTCAGTACAAATGTAGGACTTTTACTTTGGAAAATCTCTTAACAGTAAAAACGTTAGATTTTACGAATTGGAATCAAAAATGTCTTGAACACATATGCATCAGTCATTGTATGGAATTATTGAGAAGAATATTTTTATAGCACCTTAAATATTTCAGAAATTAGCTATTTGAAGGTACAATTTCAGTTCACAGTTTTTACTTCATAAAATATCTTAATTGGTACAGTTAAGATGTTTGATTTTTGTTTGGATGTCGTCAGAAATGTCCTGAACACATACATATCAGTCAGTCAGATATTTTTCATTTAAGCAACCCTCAAATCAAAGAATAAAGACACTTCATCCACAATTTAGTTTTATTTTCCCTTTAACTCACGAGATGCAGGTAACATGTTTTATACTTAATGTGAATATAATTCATTTAATCTTGTTTCCACATACAATTTGTATACGCTAAATTGACATCTTATTTTGTAAAACGGATGTTGTTTTACGTAAATCTTTCAGCTAACTTTGCAAAGTCCTTCGCTCGCTCCCGATCTGTGCCTTTTGAATGCGTTTACCGTGATTTTCAGCATATAGGTGCAATAAAATGTAAGTGCCTGCTGACCTGACAGCAGTTTCCGACTGCGTTGTTCAAACTGGCACGCAGTGTACCACAACTGATGACGCACCCTTGGCAGACTGTGGAACTGGATTGCGTGACGGTTCTATCAAGATCTAAGTTCTGATAAATCAATGAAAATAAATACTAATCTTCACCGAGCTTCGTTTTTTTGCGTCTGTCGCGGCTGTAGACGGCAGGCGGATCTAATCCAGCTAGTACGGTAATACAACACTCAATTGAGCCAGTTATGCATGGAATAACTGACCCTGCACATTTAAGCTCTAGACTCCGTCTTATTATTTTCCCTGGTTTAACCTTCCTGAGGACGGATGTTTGGATCGACTCAGCTGTGAATCAGCTTTCTCCGCTATTAAAACCTAACACCAAAAACCATTTCATGCTCACCAATGAGCACCTACAAATGTGCTTGAGAATGTCACTTTATTCAATTCAAGCCTAGATTGACTACGGGACCATTTATATCTCTAGGAGAGAAAGAAGAAAGAAATGTAAATACACAAATAAAGAGAAAGGGCTGCTCAAAGCTCTGTTTGCCTTTTATATTTTATTCAGAAGATTCTGTCTTGTTTTCTTTACTTGAAATGTTGGCCATAAGTTCTTTGTGCTATGACTGATTATATTTATGGTAAAGATAGCCATTTGTTTTCCATACATGTTGAATGTTTCTGTATGGTAAAAGTACTTACATGACAATGTTGTTGAAATTATATGGAAATGCACATTATTGGCTATAGGACGTAGTTTGGACACTGTGTCGGACCTTTGCAAAGAGACAATTTTAGTAAATGGACCTATTAACCGACAACCTTAGTTACTAGTTACTTCACAGAGTCAAATTTAGAATACGAAACATAACTATAATGTATCATTATTATTATCATTGATTAAATTCTGGAGGGAAATTCACGAGCTACCCAGCAGTTGCCTGCATTAAGTAGTTAAAATTAGCTCCATCTTCACCTCTGCAACATCAAAGTGATAAAAACGAATGCATCAATAATTATGATACAACAATATAATATACATTATTTCAAAAGGGGCAATTTCGCATGATGCATACTTTTACCTTTGGGTATTTTAAGTATACTTTGATGCTAAAACTTGTGTACTTTTACTTGAGTACAATTGTGAATACAGGACTTTTATTTAACAGAGGATTTCTACTCTGTGGTATTTATCTCAGGACTTCCTCCACCACTGACGAGAGTGAGTTCAAAAGTACAGTGCTGAACAACAATGTTCAACCAACAGATGGAGGCAAAGGCCTAAAGTCAATGCAGGAAATCACTGTGGTCCACCTAGTGGAGAGTCTCTAAAGGCAAAACAACTAAAACACCTATCATGAGGTAATAATGTGTTTAACTGAGTGTTTGTGAGCATGGTGATCCTGAAAAAGAGGGCGATATTAAACTTGCTCACTATGTCAATGAATATTGTGTTTTGTTTTGTTTCAATCCACAGTGAGGCAACTTATCCTTGGTGAGATTGTCGGTTGAAACTAGACTTTTTATACTTTCCCTTACTGATAAGCCATTAATTAACACTCTTATTAACAGTGAATTACTATATTGACTGAACATTCAGAGTAGCAATATAGAGATTTATTAATGCAGAATGACGGGATTTGAAAACAAGCACAAAAGAACTGCAGATATGAAAGATAACAGTTACACAAACAACACAGTTATGCACCGAGTGAGTGCAAAACTAAAGTAATCTTCATCAGCGATAAGGAGTGCAAATTTCAGATCTTTAAAGCTCTTCAATATGATGAGATTTGGAGCTAAAAAGAGCGATTAACAACAAACAAAGGTTTCAGTTGGGCAGTCCCTCCGCTGCCCTGAATGGAACAGAAAGGTCTTTCTACCGCTGAGGTGTCAGGAGGGAGAGGGGTCCATGTTTGGCCTTACAGCTAAGCAGGTGGGCAGATCCCTCACGGCCGAAACATAAGCACTACAGCTTTCAGTCATATACAAGCAGGTGCGGACATCAAGGAAGTGCAGGAGAGTATTGCAAGTCAGATCAGTAGGCCATGCCACTTTGCTATCGGCTGGCGAACTGAGCGCATCATTAAGCTCCAATGCTCGTCTTCTGAACTTTTCTCCTTCCCCAAAGTCAACTGTCCAATCAGATGTTTGGGAGATTTCCTAGTAGTGTGAGTCTCATACACAGAAACTGATATTTTACACTGCTCCAGAGGAAACTCTGGCAGGGAGAACATGAGGACCTCGTTGAAGACAGTGACCAGAGAGTGGGCCACGGTGGAGGTTTTTTGGTACCTCAACTTGTGCTGGTTGCACTGCAAACTGATCCTGGCGTACAGGGCTGTACAACACAGAGAAGGCAAAATCAGGAACTGTACGTGTAAGACAGCTGTATGGTCATGGCTTGATTTTTAATGACGTTGTTTGTTATTTACCTGCATCTGAGCATATTTCATTGAGGACCGCTCTGACCTTAAGCAGTCCAACCTCAAGCCTCTGAGAGGTGGGAAGAAACTTTAAAGTCAGGAGCACCTCTCCTACAAGATCCTATGTGGAAAGTGGGAGGAGAAACACTTCAGCACAAATGATGTTTCTATAGGATGTAAAAAAATGTGGTTTCTTTGTAGCAGGACCATAAATAACAGCTACTAATACTACATGAGCACAACAAATATATATGAAATATAGAACTCAACATTAAACACTAATTGCCACAGTAAACATGTAATTCAAAAGATTCCATACAATCTAGAATTTCTTTGATTGAGTGGTGGTAGTGGGATTTACAGGAAATAGAAGTAAACGGTGTTGACACATTATAAATAAAGATCTTTTCAATCAGAAATGTAAAAAAAATAATAATAATAATAATAATGAGGCAATATGTTTCAGAAATTAAACACAATTGTAAAAAATTAAACCAAACTCAATCCCAAATTGAAAATATCCTTGCACATCGATTAGGTTTACAAGTGATTAACATAACATAAAGATAATTCACTTTTCCAATGTGTACTTTCTCTACTCCAAGGTTGTCTTCCTTCTATTAACTCTACAAATCCCCTGTCACTTACTTCATTAATATCCACAATTAGACAAGAATGCTACACAGTCACATGTTCAGTGATTTATTTCCCTTTAAGCGTTCAATATTTAAAATAGTAAAAGTTATTCTTTAATTCACCTCAACTGAAAGAAGAGAAAAAAACCTTCCTATTGGAGAACATGTGTGTGTGTTTGCATACATGATGTCTTACTGTACCTTCTTGGGTGTCTTCAGATCTTCTTGTAGCTCCAGAGGGTAGGAGATGTTGAGCTGCCCTAGAGGAACCCTCACCTCTCCCAACACTGTGTGTCTGGAGAATTTATCAAAGTGCCTCACCTGAGATGCACACAGACACATGGCAGACAGACAAGTTTACTTACAGAATCACACACAAAAACATTCCTTTTTCTCTACTCAGAGCTTATTTCAACTGACAAAACCATTTCCAATGATTTGAGAGATACTGAGGGTGAGAGATGGGTTAGTGTACTGCAGTACCTCCATCCTGAGGTTGATGTGATTAAGCTTCTTGTCCTCTTGCATGATGCAGCTGAACTGGTCTCCAAATAAAGGGTTACAGCTGCCTTTCACAATGCGAGTCCGCCACTCCTGCAGCACCGTCCACAAGACGGGTGCACTCCCTTCGCCCTAAAAGGGTCACAGCAGTAATCCACAACAGCTTTACACAGTACAGAGACACTACCTGCTGGAGCTTCTGTGCCCGACAATTCATTTAATGAATTCACTTGTTGACTGACATACTGCATGTGGTAACTAATGAAGACAAAATTACCTCCTCGTCCGTACAGTCGTCCACTTCCACTCCCTCTGAAACCGCCCACATGAGTCTCAGCTTAACAAATGGCTCGAGGCTGCACGTCCGGCCGGGCCCCAGAAGCCCCTCCGCCTGCAGGACGGTGACCACCAGCTGGGACTGCAGTTGGTCATAATAGATGGAAAAATGGAGCGATCCAGCGACCTGGTTATAGGAAAGACACACATGTAACCTAACGCTGCTGTTGATGTTGCTTGGTGCCAGCAGCCAGACGATGGAGAACTAAAGAACTCAGTATTTGTGTGTTTCTGTGTGGAACCTGTGAAAACAAATTTTCTTCAGCGACAATAAAGACGATCGATGTATCTACCCCCCGACTGCTCCTGTAGCGCCACCATGAGGTCGACATCTTTGGTTTTGAGTAAAATATCTTGACAACTATTGGGTAGATTGCAGTGCAATTTGGTACAAATATTCATGGTCTCTTAAGAAAGACTTTGGTATAATCCCCTTACGTTTCCTCTAGCGCCATCGTCCAACATTTAGACTTTCTGACCAAATACTAATACAACTGATGACATTCCCATCAGCCTCAGGTTTACTTTTTTGTTTGGTACCAATCAGTAAATGTTAGCATGTTGAAGAACTTAATATTACCTGATGAACACCAGCATCTTTGTATTGTCACTGTGAGCATAAGAGCATGCTAATGTCAGAATATAGCTAATATCCCCACTGCTCCTAAGTATGACCTCACAGAGCTCCTAGCTCTTAATAGAAAAAAACACATCACCAATACAGTGTGATGGTTCAAGATAGTGTGCCACTTATCACTGTGGCACAGTATACGTCCAAAAGCTACATGAGCCTCCCTTAAAACACAATGAGTAGGAAACAGGTCTCGCACATCTTCTTCCACTTAGGATTTAACGTATGACATCTTGTATTATAGTAAAAAAAAAAAAAAACATTTGAAACAGAGCCTTGAATACTTTTTGAAGATAACAAGTGCCCACGCCTTTTGATGGAGAATAAACAGACTAGCAAAACATTGTTGATTGATTGCGACGTGACGACAGGGTTGTACAGTAACGTACTACCTTTTTAATGTTGGCCTGCTCCCCTGTGTCTCCGTCCGCCTGGCTGGATCCCGAGGAGGGAAACGAGGCCGGAGACAGACAGCGACTCAGCCTGCGGAACTCTGTGCGGACATTCTCCATCTGGGGAGCATGCATGACATCCGTGTGTTGTTATTAACTACAGCAACCTCCAGCTTTTATTTAACTTGTGACAAGCCTCAACTCTCCTTTGTTTGAAGAAGTTCATCTTAGTCTTTATTTACATAGACAATGTTGCCAATTTAGAACATCTCCACAGACTGTCTGGACAAAATAACTTTTAGTGTTAAAAGGTCATTAACGCTTCGTCAAAGAGGTGCTCGTGGTGTTTTGTTAGGCTGTGGTTTGTGGTTGTATTATGGGAAAAGTGCTCCTGTTATTCTGTACAACGTGAGTGCAGCCCTAAACCTCACCCTGAAGGAAGTGTAGTCCTTGTGCCAGTTTTTCATCCAACTCTTTTTTCCCCCATAAGTTCAACATTAACCCTGTTCCAACCAGACTGTATATAAAAACACAGTAAAAAACAAAACAAATGTACGTGCAGCAGGACCTTTACCAACACGAGTCATGTGATAGGAAGGAAACAGTCGACTATCCAAATTTAATGTGACAGAGGTATGAAACACAGCTCACGTGTACTAGATCAACACTGATTCCTCTTGTTGATATAATAATAGTGCAGCTAAACACATCAATGTCAGGATAGAAATCTATAGTAAAGACTTCCTGCAGTCTGTGCAAGAGGCTAAGTTACCTTTTTTTCATCATGAAATGAAGCTCTAGCGCAAGTTCAGACAGGAAGACTATCCCTGCACGCTTATGCTCGTAGGCTTTTCTCTCATACTACTCCCTCACTAGCAGCACATTCTCTATTCCGGCTGTCACTGTCAGAGGCGTCATAGACTATCAGCTGTTCAACAGCTGGGCGTTCCCGGTTAATAGCGCAGAGTCACACCCTCTTCGTTAGCCTATCAGCTTGCCGCTGTCTCCTTTTAAATGTGCTGTATGTGCTTCTAGTGTCCAGCTGCTGTTTTGTGCAACCCTCCTCCTCCCCAGCACCATCCGTCTTTGCAGATTTAGCACTCCATCAGCATCTCCAGCAGAACCTCCAACCACCACCACCAGTGTCTGGACTCCTCGGGGGGATTTATATATATTGTTGCCGCTCAGGGCAATCACAACTTATTGTGCTTATTCCAGACTCGAAATTCACTTAGTCTTGAATTGGCAGATCACACCCTGAGTACATCTACATTTTCCAGGAAGAGTTCCTTGATTTTGTGGGGTTTTTTTGCAGCTGTCAAGCCTGAAATATCCTGCATTTCTCTCAGCGCTCTTCCATAGATCTTTTCTCTACGAGAGCATGTGAATGGTATTGTTTTGTCTGTATGTGTTTACATGTCTGTGGACAGATTCTATCAACACACAATGAGTCAAATGCAATCAACAAAACTCAACAGGCGTGTACTGTAGCTGAGATCAAAAATGAAGGCCGAGTTTGAAGATGGGTGGGGTACGAGTAAGGGCGCTGGAAGAACAAGATAGGAAGTAGGGAAGGAGTCATGACTTGTGTTGTACACTATAGGGGGCGGCTTTGAACTCTGGGCCACCTGATACAATAGGGTGGCCACAGATGACAGAACGGTTATAAAAAATAATCTGTTTCCATCCACACCCCTCAAATCCATTTTGTCTTACCCTAGTTCTTGGAGCTCCTGAGTAGTTTCCAACTGTTCTTGACTTTTCGACCAAGTACAGTGGATCACGGTTCACTACGATAAAAATCAGACACAAGAATGCATTTGGTAATTACATTCTTGGTCAGACACCCGGCATCAGCAGTGTGTGCTGTAGCCGTTTGGCACTGTCACCTGATCTACTCACCAGCATCTTGCAGGGTGATCGTAGTGTGCGTCTCTGTGCAGCATCTGAAGGCCTGCCATGCCAAGATGCCCAGGGCCAGCAGAAGAAGAGCAACCGAGATGCCCAGGATGCAGTACTTGGCCGTATCCGAGAACGGCATTCTCAGCTCTCCAGCAGTCGACAGCAGCCAATCGGGGGCTGGATAGTCCATCAGCCTAACCCTGGATCTCCAGCTCCATGTGGCCAAAGCGTACCTCTGCAACACAATAAAGACGGGCCACGTGAGGGCACTATAATGTAGATTACAGAACTCTGTGACCACCGAATGGGCCCGTTGGCAGCCATATTGGAGGTTCAGCCATTGGAGCAGTGGTGGGCCGTCAGGGCCTGCAAAGCCTTCTCTGCCTGCCTAAACAGAATCACAAAGTTATAGCTATTTTATAATTTAGTATTTTTTCTTAAATACACTAGGCTACATGTATTGTAATTTATAAAAATATTTTCCCCATTATCTTATTTTCTCATTGCACAGCTACTGTCTTCCTCAATTGCTCTGCTTCCAGTGCAGCTTGTTTTAAGTAGAGCTTTTATCCAATCAGGTAAGAAGAGAGGCCCCCAGGCCTTCAGACTCACACATGCATCCATGTGCAGTTTAAGTGAATGGGGATGATATTGTTGATTGTCATAGTGTTCAACCAATCAGATCTTTAGTTTGACATCTTGGCGTATTCTTTGACGTGCCAGAACCTGGTAGTTGGTCTACAACTACGTCAGCATTGAGTGCAGTTCAGGTTTTAATTTCCCGTATGATATGATTTTCCATATACCGTCATACCGAGGATTTGCTCTTCAACAGGAAGCAGAATATATTGTTTGCTGCTGAGAGTGATACAGTTGGAGCTAGTTATATTATGTGTATTGAGAGGGAACCCTAGTCATGGTTATAACTTTATAACAACAATTAAACCAACAACCCACAACTAATGCTATTTAACAGGGCAAAACACCACGACACAACAGTTTGTGACACATAAACAATTTGTAACACTAATAATTGTACATTTATAAAATTTCCCCGCCGAACTGCATGCTGGGTACAGCTCGCTAACAACAGTCTGCTAACAGCTGGGAGAGGCTCTGTCGCTCCAGTAACATTACATTAAAGAACAGAAAAGATCTGGTTCTTTTTGCCGTTAATTAATTAATGCTTTAACACGAAGAAAAAAAATACTGTGCTATACCGTGAAACCGCCAGCCTTACAAAATACCATGATATGTATTTTTGGTCATACTGCCCAGCCCTACTCTGCAGTGAGGTGCAGCTGTGCTGTGATTGGTCAGTGGGCGAGCACGTGACTATCGTGAAACGAAATTTAACAGCAGTTCAAATTGAAAGATATGGAAGAAATTATGACATGTTTTGCATTTTGCTTGGTGTAGATTGTTGTTTTTGTTACCTAGCTTTGTTTTCGTATCACTGAATGGCTGAAGGAGGAGGAGAAACGGATTTGTGAGTTGGGATTTAACAGTGGGATTAAACTCTTTGTCAACAAAGAAAGGAGCATGGGGTTTGGTAAATCAACTGTGTTTGTTTTTTTACATCTAATATCTGAATGGCCCTTGAGTGTGTAGCTGTTGTTTTCCCATTAAGCCCCAGCTGCTTTTTGTTGTGGTTTATTTTGTTCCGGTTCAGAGGTCACACAGACCATTGTCTCCTACATCAGTGTCTGGTGGGTCGCGGGCCTTTGCCTGACAAAAAAAGAAAATCTTGTGCTTCTATCATGGAATATATTTTTTATGAAGCGGACTTATTCCAGCATTTACGGCACTTGTTCAGTGGTGCAGGAAAAACACCGGCCAATGCGTTGTGAATCACATCACGTGATGCAGCTCAGCCAATCAAATATGGCATTCTGACAAGTTTCCTGACTTGAGTGAGATGTACACACTCCGTGACACAGATGGCTGAGACGAGGACACAAATAGCAGAACAGTATGTGTATTAAGTGAATTGTGAAAGTCAAATTATAAGACGGTGTTCAGAAGAGTAGAATGGGTTACGCCCCGTCATTGAGTGATCGTGGGTCGCACAGCCAAACCAGTCGACAACCTCTGTCGTACCTGAGCGCTGAAAACATTATATTTCCTTCAATTTATGCTTCTGCATTTTCCTAATGCACTAGTATTATTCAAATGTATTGTGCGGTTAGTAAGACTCGTACTGAACGGATTAATACGAATACGTATATAGTCACAGTCCTAGAAACGGATAATAGCTGTGGCACACCAATATCAACAATAGAGGATTCCTGTTAGATTTCATCACTTCAAGTAGCAGAAGTGAATGGCAACTACAGTATTCACGCTAGCTGTCACATGGTATTACGGCTGCATGTGACAACTTTGCATCCAGCCCTGATACAGGACAGTCACGCAATGTCAGAACAAATATGGAATGTTTAGGTGATCAACATAAAATGGCGTTTATGAAAAACAAAACGAGTTTCTCTGACGTGACGACTTCGAACTGTGATGGTTTACTGGGACACTTGAAAAAGAACGGAGCTTTCTTTAATGCTGGTATTAAAAACTGTCTTTTTAGGCCTGCAGGCCTAACTGCACAAGATGGAGTCCTGTATTAACTTCAATTTGAGGTCAGCCAGTAAGTAGAACAGTTTGTATAGATGTCAATTTAGGGCCTTGACACTTAAAAAAATAGTTTGACTTTAGTAGTCGGATTATTCTTCGAGGTAAATAAAACTGGTACAACTGTGGCGTGGTCAGAGAGACATGAGTATCTGCTATCACAAACGGTTTAGTCAAATAGCACTTGTCCTGCTCACACAGCATGCAAAACAATACCAATGTTGCAGAGAAAAACCTACAAAGTTGTAAGTAGTATTAGTATTCATACAAAAGAGGTTGGCAGAACACACAACAATTCAGCTACAATGAGCTCAGAACTTTAAAAAAACTAAACATTAAGGACACACAAACACAAATACCTGTAGCAAGTAATGAGAAGTTCTTCTTTTCCTTCAGGAATGCGAGCATCTTCTCGTGTAACGAATGCAGAGCTCTTCAAATGTATTAAACATAAAATAACTCGTGAGCAAGAGAAATCCACAGCAGCACCTTAACACATATGTTCCTCCCGGTTCTGGTGCTCTATGCACACTCCCTCTCCCCTCTGGCTCTCCAGACACACACAGCACATGACTTCCTGCACAGCAGTCTGGGCAAACTGGTTTGATTAGATTTGAATGACATTTCAGGGAGGCTTGGCAGGCCCTTATCTTCAGCTCTGTTCCTCTTGAAGATCCTTCTGCAGACCTTACTTACCAAATGATGAGGTCAGACATGCACCTGCGTCCAGGTAGCCCGAGAACTGCCACTGAATCCTGCCTAAGCCCTCGTGTTCCTCTACTATATACGTACCATAGTCAACATTTATATTGCACTTTTACGTAATGATCTTATCCAATAAGTTAAACTCATTCGAGGTTTGATACATTCCGCTCATTTTCTAAGTTGCAGTTTCAACTTAAAGCGCTCTGCTTTATCGTGCACGGTACCCAAACCAGCAGTGGCCACAGGTGCTGTAAACTGACAATGATAAGAAACACTCAACTCTCTGACAATTGTACAGCGTAAGTGCCACTAAGACAGGCTCATGAGGTCAAATGACATTTACCTTATATGCTTTCATTGTTGTCATTATCTCGCAGACTCGTCACCTATTATTTTGCAGGACTGCCTGCTTGAAGAGAGACGCACAATGGGAAACAGGAACTGTACCAAAAAATGTCCGTTTAACAACAAGAACAATATGTCAAGTCACCCCGCTGGAGACAGAGGTATTATGGGTAGCCCAAACTTACCGCTCCAAGAATGAGGAAGAAAAACATTTTGACTAAACTTCCTTGTTTGACTTAAATCCTACAAGGAAGAATGTCCCCGAACACTGACAACTGACAACAAGATCATCTTCAAATCATGCAGTTCAGGACAAAAGCAACAACAGGACATGTGACCTCTTTTAATCTCTGAAACTTCTGAGGAAGAGAGAACTTTATAGCACATCGTCGTCACCCCCCCCCTCCCAAACACACACACACACACACACACACACACACAGCTTAGATAACTTGTTTTTGGAGCATGTTAGAGGTATGTAGGGCTGAACTGGACTAACAGCGTACTGTGTGTACAGTATGGACCCTCAAAATATGCACGATTTCTAAAACTCTGTCCTCTCCGAGTCCTTTAACTTTTGCAAGTTGAACTATTTGAAGATGACGATAACCTGAAGAAATGTTAGGATCCGTTAGAAGTTCTTATAGAAAGAGTCACCACGGCAAACTCTCTCCTGTAAAGTTCAGAAATGACCCGTGATCCTTTTCAGTCAGTCCACCAATCACAGACAGGAGGGATGAAACGCTCTCCTCTGGACTCAGTGGAGCCTGGAAAGAGACACAAAAAACATTATTTATTTATTTATTTATATATATATATATATATATATATATATATCTTTAAGGGCACCCCAAAAAGACTGTGATGGAGGTGGACAGAGCAGGCCCTTACCTCAGAACCCCCCATGTCAGTGCGGACCCAGCCGGGATGTATCGCCATACAGAGAATCCCATCAGGCTCCAGGTCCACAGCCATACAGCGACTCACCATGTTCAGGGCGCTCTGAGAAGGGAAGCAGAAACAAGTTACTATGCAACACAAACCTGAAACCCACTACAGCACAGTTTGGCCCAACAGCACAGACGTTGATCCGTTCGGAGATGGTGGAGGGTGCGGCTCATATCTCATATTTATCCGAAAATCTTTGGCTGCAAAATGTTCAAACAGAAGAGTGCTTCTGACTTTCTGTCATTCACCAGGTCAGAAATGAAACACTTGACCTGCCTTATATGCATTAACAGACTTGTACTTTTTTTTTTATATGAATTGCTATCAAGCTATATGTATCCAATGGTAACAATACCTTGGACGTCCTGTAGGGGTACCACTTTAAGTTGTTGGCCCGTTCGCCCCAGTTGAGCTCCACAGAACCCAGCAGAGACGTCATGTTAATGACCGCTGCCCTCTGGATGCCCATGCTGCCTGTTCCACCGGCTCCTCCTCTAGACGCAGCTCGTTTCAACAGAGGCTGGAAGGCCTGGAAGCGGCAGAAATAAAAAAAAAACACACATCACACCTGAAGCTGGAATCAACCTACTGCACAGGGTTTTCATGAGATGGAGAGATTCTTAGATATCCAAAAGCTTGTGACCATGAGGATTACAGGAGGCTTACATTGTATGATGATTTTTAATACCACAATCCACATTGCAAATATATAATATTAACAACAAAACGTCATCTGTATAGAACATGTTGAAATCTAGAGATCTAGAGATAAACATTTCACAAATGACTTCACTATCAAATCTTGAATTTTGGGCAAACTCCAGAGCCTTTCCAGTCAGAGTAAAACACTTTCACATTGTCCAGTCTGTGGGGAGGAAGAACAATAGTGCCCTCTGGTGGCAGCACGGCAGCATGACATATATACACAATGTCGTGTTTCTATGACTTTGTCCTCACCGTTTGTATCAATAAAAGGAACACCCGTCAGTACAATGCAAGACAGCTCAAGAGCAGTTCAGAGTGTATGTGTGTATTAGACTGCATTGGCTTTAGTTAGGTGTACCTAATAAACTGGCAACTGAGTGTACAAGTATCTCAGACCACATTACAGTGTTAATGCAGTGATGACTTACTATTGCAACGATCGAGATGGACTTTAAGATGCTATCTTTTAGCAGATGCATTTGATCAACACTCTTAATGATACCAACGCTAAAATACATAGTGATTCAATCCAGAGCCTCGTTCTTTTACCTGATTATGAAACATATATTTGTTTCATGATCAGGTGAAGTGAGCGCTGCAAGCGCTCCAAACAAGTAGCCGATTCACAACATCCAAGCCGACAGGAAGCACAAAATCCATGACAATAATAATAAGAGTATAATGAACATTACCTTGGTGATCATTAGAGGAGCCACAGCATTGGTGTGGAAGTTTTCGATCATCATCTCTGCAGTAACGGTTTGAAAGTCGGCCACCACGTTGATGCCCGCATTGTTGATCAGGCAGTTGAGACCCTCTTCCTGTACGAGCTGGCCGACCTCCTCCACAGACTTCTCTATGCTCTCCTGGCTCACTACGTCTAGCGCAGAGAATCAACACATCAAATCACCGACAGTTGAATGAAAAGAATGGAGAAAAAAAAGAAAACACATGCTGAAGATGTATTAATAAGTAATGTTTTTCAGTTTCACTTCATATCTCCAGTGTGTACCTGATTTATATAGTTTACACATGCCATGAGGCCAACAAGTAGTTGTGTTAGAAGATGTTGGTTGGTGCACATTTAGGAACTCTTTTGGTTTCTTGGTTAATGTCTAAATAATCCCACGAGGGATGACAAGGAGCCATGAATTTAACATGATTCATTCACATCATAAATAAACAGGCCTAGTGCTTTAAAGTTAGGGTTGTGTTTAGGTTAGTCGTCCACATACAACAAAAGCTATTATGGTGTTGTTTTTATATACATTTTATATACATTTTATATACATTGTATCGTTCTTTGTTTATGCACACCAACCATGGTTCTTCTCTGCCTTACCCAAAGTGATGATGTGGATGTTGGGATGTTTCTCTGCCAGTTCCTGAAGTTTCTGTGGGTCAAAACAGCACCACCTCATTGTTCATTAGTAAATATCCAGTGTGGGGAGGGGGGGGTACCTCCTGGTACTTTTGGGGTCAATTTGACCCCAATCAATGTTTAACGTCTCCAAATAAATGATTGACATCATTTTTTTTTGCTTCATATTTAATGACTTTTCCTAATTTAATGGGGACAACTGGGTAAACATGATAATATGTTTTCAATGTCCTGTACACATGCTGTCCGCATCGGTGTTCTTTGGGGTCAATTTGACCTCAGGCTGTTTTAGCTGTATAAAACATATAAGAAACCTCAACATTTTACATACATTTGTTTTGGATGATATTGAGGTCACTATAACATGCAATTTTATAATCTTCAAAAAGCTTTTGGGCCCTAACCTAACATAACCATAACTGTAGTAGTGTGAGAACCACTGATAGTTCACACGAGATGGGGGCGGAGCAAACACTTGCACAGCAGCCTTCTAAACCATTTCTCTTGGTGCTCTGTGTGCTTTCTCTTTCTGCTCTCTCTCTCAACTGAAAATGAATTCTAAAGAAAGGTTTTCTGTCAATGAGGTGTTGTCTCATCTCTTTGACCATGAAAGTGACATAGAGGAGAATGTGTCTGAGACAGAGCATGATGTTGAGGAGGACCCTGATTATGAGGCATCCTCCTCTGATGAGAATGAGACCCTCAGTGTTGACCCTCCTGTTGTCTCTCAACCACCACCAAACACACTACCTTCCAAAAATGGAAAGTTATTATGGTCCGTCTCCCCACTTGAACAACAGGGTAGACTCAGTGCTGCTAATGTCATCAAAATGGTTCCAGGTCCCACCAGATACGCTGTCAGCCATGTCCAAGACATACAATCAGCATTTGAGCTCTTCATAACACCATCAATCGAAAAGGATTTACTTGAGATGACACATTTAGAGGGGAGGTGCGTGTATGGGGACAGTTGGAAAGACTTGGATGTGACCCACTTGCAGGCCTACATTAGGTTGCTCATTTTGGCACGAGTGTACAAGTCAAAAGGCAAAGCAACAGCAAGCCTTTGGGCTGCTGACACTGGAAGGGCAATATTTCCAGCCACCATGTCTCTAAACACATTCCATGTTTTCTCCCGTGTCATACGCTTTGATGACAGATAAACAAGGCAGGGCCGACGAGAGCGTGACAAACTCGCAGCAATACGGGATGTATGGGACAAGTGGGTTCAGCAATTACCCTTTGTTTACAATCCAGGCCCTCACATGACTGTGGATGAATGTCTGGTTGCATTTCGTGGCCGCTGTCCATTCAGACAATACTGAAATTGTGTTTGTTTTTCCTGGGGTCAAATTGACCCCGAACATAATACATGTTACTATTCTTGATAACAGAAATAGTTTTTCATTCCAAATGTTATAGATAAGAAAAATATGTACTTAGAAATAATATAAAGCCATTAAAACACCAAAAAGATATCGCTTTCCAATTTTAGGTCAATCAGTGAGATTTTATGGTGATCTGCACATTTCTCCATAGTCACATAACAGGTATTCTGGATGTATAAGGGGGGTGGGTGGGGGTTGTTTTATTTAAAGGGATATTTAGGCAGTCAACAAACAAAGTTTGTAAAGTACCTGACACTTGGGTAACAATTTAATTATAATAATTTTCTGCAGGTTTAAATTGCTGGGGTCAAATTGACCCCAGGGATAAAAGGTGTTAGTACATTTGAAGGTAAAAGGAGGGTTAACTTTATTTCTTTAGCTAGTTACGTGACTCGTCTGATGTGCCTCCACCCGTCACAGTGGACCGGGCTTCCAGGAGAACTAGGTGATTAAACGAGATTGTGCACTAGATTGTGGTGACAGGGTGGTTAGCTTCAAAGCTACTAAGCTATCTGTAAGTGCATTTGTTTACTTGCGTGCTCGCGGGGTTCCTGGTCGTGGCTACTATCTTGCCGGGTGAGAAACATCCACGCGCCAGGCTGTCGACTATCTGCAGCCCGAGACCTCGGCTGGCTCCCGTTACCAGCACAGAGCCGCACTTTTTAAAGTTCACGGCACCACTCATTGCTAACGCCACCCGTAACAAACGCTGGGCTGAGTGGACTCCAGGTATTATATATCGCTCGTCACAGGGGGCTTTGCTAAAAACTGCAGCTGTCGCGCGACTCCTCCAGTAGGTGGGAGGGTTGCTCCACTTGACCAAACTGAGCGAGAGTCGCTTTACGAGGAGGACACTTCAATATAGTTTATCTTCGACAACTGAGTCTTGAAACAGATGGGGACACTGAAATAAAGTTGTTAAAACGACAGTTGCGTACGATAAGGGGGCAGGAGCGGAACTTAAACCGTCACACAGAGCAGTGGAGACTCTCGATATTCATGTCCTGGACGTGTCTGTCCCAGGACCCACAAGGCATTGCGCATAAAATCCCTCACACAGTTTCTAATCTCATTCATTATCTCAGTGGTTGGATCATACGTCTATGGTTAGAGCGATTGAATGAAAGCAAATATCTAAACTTGGGTTATATAAATTGAGGTTAGACACAATTGACAACGGAAATCATGGTGAAGGGGCTTGAAAAAAACAGATCTTATCGAGTATGATGCTTGGAACAATATTCACATTGTTTAAGTTATGTAATGACATGAAGTAAAGCTTAATTATATTTAAATAATGCAATTTCATGAATAAATATCTAAATTCGATTACAGCTCTGCCTAATGAACTTCTGCAGACACATATCAAATCAAATTATTGCATCAATCTTTTAAAAGTTTTTAATTTTGAGTTGTATGGGGAGTTACCTGTGTACACTTGTTATATTTTGTGCTCATGACATTCATACAATGGAATATAGGAAACAGACATTTTGTCAGTGACATAGCTTGCACTGCACTAAGTTACCCATGCAAAATGTTGCCTTTAATATGTGACAATGCTTATTAAAGTAGTAAAATCAATAGCTGTTATTTTCACATGGTTTGCAGAATTTGTTTGCTTCCAATTTTCCATCTTCAAAAGATTACTTGACAAAATGAAAGGGGCACTTTCCAAGAAGCAAATACATAATCTAATAAAATAATTTGATTTTCCTGATCCATTCGTTATTTATGATTAGATAGTCTGGCTTTCATTTTTTTTGCAAAGGAGAGAGGCATCCGCTGTTTGCTTTTGCATTCGGTTAGTTTTCAAATATTGAAGCTAAGATTGAGGTGCAGAGATAAGGGTGACAACACAGCTGATGGAGCTTATGCAGTCACAGCACACAGATGGTTTCTCTGGCAGCCTCCTGAGTCCAGATTTTCTTAAAGCTTCTGGTTCTTGGGAGCAGCCAATATCCCTGGTCTGCTTCAGGTCAGTTAATTTGGATTTTGGCTCCTATATGCCTCCATTTACAGACACATTACTTTGGCACAGAGCACACATTGCAGATGATGGGTTGGTAGTGGCACAATGTGTGGTGCAGAGCTGGAGGGTGTTAACTGGCTCTCCTGAGCATACACAATAGTGAGGTATTGTCTCTACAGAAAAGACAGCAACCAGTTAATGGTTTAGATAAGGTGGTCTGTCCAGTAAGCAGTGCAGAGTGGACATACAGAATGGGATGTGTCTAATATTTGGCAGTTTCGCTGCTACTTTAAGCAAAAAAAAAAGCCAGACTCAACGAAATTGCATAATAAGCAGATAGTATAAAGTCCGAGTGCACCAGAGTTCATTTAACACTGGTGTTACTTTAACCTCAGAGCTATATTGACTCTATGGCTGACCAAACAGTTCTCTGAATAAAGTTAGTGAACTCCAAACTTCAACTCCATTGTTCACTTGTGGAACATGACAGAAAAGAAGGTGAAGCGACACTTGTAGCAAAGGCACTAGAGTTGAAACCATAGTGGAATTTCTTTGGAGTAGTACAATTACAATTACAATTCAATGGCGGCCGTTTGTCACATCATTTTCCATGTGTGCCTTTCTGCTTGAACGATAACCGAGAGGTCAAGTGAATTTAGCAGATTAAAGATAGAATTCATGATGTATTACAAGTCCCCATGTGGCTATGTAACATTCAACAAAAAACCAAAGACTGGTCAAGTAAGTGATGGTGGATTTTCTGCATCTGGAAAGTATTGATCATTTTATATAGTACTTCCTCTCACTGCATCCCTTAAGGATCCTCCGTCGAATGTTCTTCCTGAATCATTGGCTTGGTGGTAAGGAATAAACACTTAATGGGCCCCTGCGACTCCTTCAAGATGAAAGGATGAAGCATAATACCATTGACAATCAGCATGCAAACCAAGTAAACGGTATTCATTTCTCCAACTACTTCACTGTTTTGGATTTGACATACACTGATCTCACAGAAACACGGGCGCCCTGGCTTCCAAGCTAATATGACTACGTCAACTTTAAGCGTATGCTTTCATTTTAGATTTAATTCAGGTATAAGACAGGTGTTTCTTTTTTTTTTAAAGGAATACTTCCACAGTTTCCGTCTGTCTACATTTATTTTCTTTTTAGAGTAACACTGTATCAAATGTCAATGTGAAAACAATGCTTCGCAACAAGTTTCAGCTCAACTTTACTGTTGTGGTTCACTCTCAGCGCTCTCATAGCACCGTTCATTCACCAAGTAGCCTAAAGACTCCACTCCAAATAAATGATCATGTTGCTCTGTAACTGCTGGATGTGCAAATAAGCAACTGTTAGCTGACAAATATTAGCCCTATCAATTTAAAAGGTGATTCATCAATGTTGTTTCCCACTGACCCCAAGTGGCCAAAATTAGTTATTGCATGTTTACAGTTTAGCTTTGCATAAAGGCTGGAGGCAGGCAGTGGCACCCGGCCAGGAAATAGTCATAACCCCCTGCACAACCTCAACTTGTTGTCTGTACACTTGCACAAGTGCTGGTAGGCTGATTTATTTTACCTTTGAACGGAGCCATGCCAGCTGTTTCTCCCTATTTCCAGTCTTTAAGCTAAGCTAAGCTAAGCATCCCCAGGCTATAGCTTGATTAAAAAAAAGATACATTTGAGTGATGTTGATATTTTCATCTAATTCCCAGAGAGAACGCAAATTAGGATATTTCCCCAAATGGCAAACATATTTCTTTGAATACTTTTTGCTTGACTCATCCATAAAAAAATAGATAATTCTGCTTTTCAACCACAGTGAACTGATGAGTATCATTCAGAACTTCTTTTCAGTAGCAGTCAACCAGCTGCAGCATGACTTTGCTTTTTGTGTTTCAGTGCTACAGCCAAGGGTGAGTCAAGTTGTCAGTCAGGAGTTACACTGAAGAACAGGAGTCAGTGTGCGTGCCTTTATTAACTTGTATTTGTTTGTGGATGTGTGCTTGTATAGTGCTGTGATGTATGTTCGTCTGTGTGTGCACATGCCCGTGTTCAGTGTGTGTGCGTGTGCCCGGTTGTGTGGGATACACAAGAATCAAGGTTGTAACATCCATTTTTCATTCACTTATTTAATTCACATGAGCTATATTTAAGGAGACCATAAATAAAATACCAGGGTTCCTTTCATCAATGCATAAATCATGGCCGTTATCCTCTTGCATTCACATTCTCTTCTCTCTTTTCCCCCTGCACACAGTGTAGTACTCTGCCTCCAGTCTTTATCACATTGGTTTATCACAGTGGGCTAGATGTGTGATGTACGATGAAGTGTTTACATGCACAACAGTATACTGTTCGGTTGTTCTGTCTACTCAGCTATTCACCTATTGAGATTGCTGGCGCAAATACTGTTTACAAAAAACCATCACATGGAACCCTGAACACAATTTAAGATTCAATACTATTTAATGTCCCGAGGAAAAAAATCCAGTCTACCAGAACAGAACAGAAAATAGTGCAAATCAGTAAAACCCACATCAGCAGAAAAGGAAATCACCCTCTAACACTGAACTGCTGAAGGAGAATGCCCTCCATTTCAAGAATTCATGTCACATCTGTGCACCAGATGCAGTGTTTTTATTCTCTTTCCCCAGCTGAGAATCTAAAGAATTTGCTCTTGAATTTATAATTTGTAAACAGACCCTGATTTTTAAAAAAACGTCTGGGTCAGCAGCGATGCTGCACCACATCTATATCCCACTGACTGCTGTGAACTCTTTTTCTCAGCGCTTTCAACATCAGACGAGGTTGCACTGCAAACTTCATCACCGCAAACCCCATCTGATGATGAAGACTTTTTGTTTGCTATGTTACATAGCTAGACAGCATCCGGAGTTCAGATTTAGTGTCCCTACTGTTGAGCTCAACAGGAAAATGCTCATCAACAATTGTACTTATTACTAGCAAATGAACAGAGGAGAATAGGCTTCTCTACATTTGTCGAAACATTTTACTCAAAACCATGAAATTCCATCTGCTAGTGACTCTATAAAGGAAAAGTCACGGATCACTTTAGTCATTAGGATTCTTCCTCTGGGAGCCATGAATGTCTGCACCTACTTTCGTGACAATCCATCCAAGAGTTGTTGAAATATTTCAGCCTTGATCAAAGAGGTGGACCGACCCACTGACATGACTAATGTGGGCTAAAAACCACATGTAGAAAAGTGATTTTTGTTTTTACCATAACCTCTATAATGCAACCTGTAGTGCTATTTATTAATCTAGACATCTCTACTGACGATATATATCCATAAATAACTCACAACAAAACAATCTAGATTGATAAATAGCGCTACAGGTAAGAGGTAAAATATGTATTTTTGATTTGGGGGTGAACTGTCCCTTTAATATTGTCTCTGCAATTATTATTGATCTTTTTGCCTATTGTCAGTATAACATGCTGTATACAGGACATTATAAAAACAACATTTATGACAAAATAACCCCATTACCAATAAATAAATCTTCAGCAAATAAACAGACTTGAGATTGACCTTTTCTTTTGGCAAATAAGTATGAAATAACAAATACGTATTTATTTTTTGTCATATAATTGTATTGTATGCGTTTTAGTTTGTCATTTCCCCTTTTGAGCAGATTTATAGCTAAACAACAGAGTTCATCCTGCAGCTGTTTGAGATCAGTCTGATTCAAAATGTAAAATCTACTCCCAGATGGGAGCAGAAGGCAGCGCTTAGTAAAACGGCATTCAGGGATTATCGACGCTTCTGGCCTTCTGCGCTGCCTTCTATTCAGACTCTTCCTGCAATCCCATGCAGGTTACCCCTCATTGGTGATGGTCTAGATCTTCAGAAGAAAGTGTACCTTTTCCTGCTGATGCAGATGATACAGAACATGCGGAGATGGTTTTCTTGTGGATGACTGACACAACATTGTTAGGAGAGAGACTTATCGAGCTTATCGGTATCTACGGTTGGCCAATCTCTCAACGAGCGCATCTTCAGCTAAATGTTTAATTAGATGCGCCTCCTTTCCAAACTTTATCAGCAGCTCCCTTTTTTTATGATGTGGTGTTGTAAGAAATTGTTTCCACACCAATGCACTCCACTCCTTATGCATTTCTCTTTTTCTTTCAAAGCGCTCTCCACTGTTTGAAAGTCTAACGACAACATCTGAGTCACCTCTATACCGCTTAGCTCACTGGGCCTTCCAGACTGCAATTAAAGATCTCACTTTGTTTCACAGTGAGATAGTCGTGCAGCAGAAACGTGCTGCTGTTGGCTTTCGTCGGGGATGCAGGGAACCCACCTGTCGGTTGGAGACTTTCTCACTGAGCAGCTGCGTGTGTGTGTGTGAGAGCACAGGGTGAGGGATGTGCACCGTCGCTACTGGACTGATTGTACAAATGCATTGAAATAGTTTAAGGTTTATTCAGGCTGACACTCCATGACATTCAACATCATTTCATGAACTACAGAAGAAAACATAGCATGATTATGATATCATTCTTATAGCTCTGGATTTTAATAGCATCCGAGACAGTAGCGCCTAACTCTTTTGCGTATTAATTGTGCTTTTGAGTTCTTACAGAAACCGCATTCTTGGGATACAGTCTTTTTCATAAGGAAGACAACGCTCTCTTGCGCAACTCAATACACTGACAGCACCAGTAGTCGCTCATGGTGGCTAATTTTAGCCTGGGCTAACCCCCCTCTCTCTCTCTCTCTCTCTCTTTCTCTCTCTCTCTCTGTCTGTATGTTGCTGCACCTACACACAAGAAGCAGCGCTCTCCATGGTTCCGAAACAACAGCTAAGCGATAGTCATATGTATCTCGGCCACTAACGTTGTGTTTTTTTAAAATATTTGAGCTTAAAAGCACAGTGTTTAGGATTTTTGTGGTCGCAGATTACAACCAACCGAATACCCGACTCACTCCTTAGGGTTAGGGTTAGGGGTTAGGGTTAGGGGTTAGGTTAGGGTTAGGGTTAGGGGTTAGGGTCAGGGCTAATGTGAGCTGGCGAGTGCAAAACGGTGGTGACCTGGGGGCTCCACGCTTCTGATCTCTGCAACCAGTTACCATAGTCTTAACCACAGTTTCACAAGAGCGTCAGAGAACTATGGCGACCTGCAGGTAAAGCAAAAACAAACAACGCAAAAGGCTCCAATCTAGAGCAGTGATTGGTTTAACAGTTCTGGGCTACTGTAGAAATATAGCGATGCAAGATGGCGGACTCCGTGGAAGAGGACTCTCTACGAAGATATAGATGTCTCTTTCTAAGGAAAACACAACTTTTTTTTTTTTTTGTTTCAGGGTATTATACACTAATGAAAACATAGTTGTGAATATTATATTCCATTTCTGCAAATAGATCCCCCTAAATGCTACACACTAGCTCTTTAAGGTGGCCAATGTTGGCAAACAAAAAACATACATTTCTGAGTAACCGACATTATTCAGTCAGCTTCAGACTTTCTGACTTCTTCAATTGTGCAATATTTAAGGTTTTTCTGCAATTGTCCACGTGTTCAGCAAAAGTCACACAGTCTCACTTGAAACAATATTAATTGGACTTCTTAACAGCACATAGTGTACATTTTCTTTGAGCAGCTGGATGCCATATAAAGATTTAAATGCCTCTGATTAATTGATGCGGGTTTGCACCAGCTCCACATTGAGATGGGGGCCTGTGTGCTTGCTGTATTATTCAGATGGCTTTAAAAGCATGTCAACTCAATTACGGGGTTTTTACGAGAAATATCAAGTCCTGTCCCACTATGTCAGGAGCAACATTTCAGCTCAGGAGGAGCACCTCCCGCCCTGGATTCAACTGGAAAAAAAAGATGGAGGCTTCCAGTGGCACCGCTGGAATTGCAGCCAAATTATTTTTGTTGTCAGTTCCGATCATTGTTAAGTTTTGTAGTTATATTTAATTGCATGTTTTATGCAATAGGCTCCACATTCATGTTTCTATCGACATGTAAAGCCTCTGAGACGCACCATGTTCTTCCTTTTTGGTGATGTCAGATCAGATTATCTCCCTTTTAAATTTACTTTGGTCATTTATGAGTTTCAAAAATCAGACTTCAGTTAGTTCTAAAGGGTTTCCCAATTTGCTTTTGAACGCTTTTCCATATTTGGGCCCATTTGAGCTTGAGTCCTTCATCTTACGGACAATTAAACGCTTTAAGCCCGATGCTCTTGAAATAAATTCACTTCCCAATTTAATGACAGGAGCTAAATTGTAAATCCATTAGAAAACTGATTTCAAATGTAAGAACTTCAGGTCAGCTTTCGCTTCAGTTTCGGGTTTGCTTCGGCAACTCAAAAGGGAGGCAAGTGTTTTGTTATGCTGCCTCATTTCATTCACACAAGGGGAAAATACAGGTAAATGCCTGAGTGCAGACTCAGCAATGTCACTCTACTTGTTTCTTCGGTCCTTTTCATTATGCAACTGGGAGACGGACATCATGCTGCAAATAAAGCTGTCTGACTGAGTCAGTGCCGCAGCGCAGCAGCCAGTATTTCTATCGTCTTCTTGATTCCAATGCGATACATTTTCAGGGGACAGCATTAGACGTTGTAGTTGCTCGTGTTAAGTTGCTCAACACAGACAACCGGCATCGACACCAGAGCCAATGTCTAGTGGTTTTCTATACTTACGACAATTATAAATTGTACACCATCTTGCTGTTGTTGTGACTGCATCCGTCGTTAACTCTTTTTTTATGTTTATGCTAGTGAGTTGACGATGAGGGAGCAGTTTTAAAGCTGGGAAGCCTTGATAAAACAATCAAGTTGGTATATGCAGAAGGTCAGCACGAGCAGACATAACTTTGAGAGAATGATGCAGCGTTGCATGGCTGTAAAATATTCAGACTGCCACGAGGAAGTCCAGGAGGTAATCCTCTCCATCAAAGTGTGACCAACACTGGCAGTTACTCTTTGACGAAATCATGTTCATAAAGTGTCAAAACTGATTTTTTTTTTATCTTAAGACATTTTATTCATATTTTCAATCAACAGTATCAGCCAAAAACAAACTTTGAAAATTAAAAATCATATCATATGGCAATGGATCAAGAGGGCTTCAGGGCAAACAGGTGGAAAAAATCAATACCAGATCCATCACAGACTATAAATTAGATAAATTCAAACACAGCTGTCTGCAGTTTTGTCTGACTATATATATATATATCGTATGTAATGCAAAGTTGTAAGAGCGACGGGATGGATGGGTCGACAAAGCCGGGGTCAAGGTTCAAGGGTTATCAACGGGTCAAAAGGTTGTTTCTGTGGAAAAACTGGGTTTGGGCTTTTGGTCAGGAGTTGCAAGTCAGGCACAGCATGGAGGGCAGGGACGTTTATGAGGTCAGAAATAGTAAAGGAAATAGGTGAAGAGCTGAGAAGGTGAAAAGCTACTGTAGAGGTTTCAGACAGGTCAGGTGGCAAAAGAATGAGGGTTTGAGGAGGAAGAGCTGTTTCGCGTGCTGACGGTGCACTTATTCGTTCTGATGTTGTAACTTTTGGGCGGGGCGGGGGAAATGATAGCGGGGAGGGGTGTCTGGCACATGCAACCTGGTATATTTTGCCAGGCAGCTGGATGTGGGTGTGGTCTCGGGAGAGCAGGGCGGGGCAGGCAGAGAAAAGGATGATGCACAACAAGAGAGAGGAGGAAGAGTCACACAATGGGCTCCCTGCAGAGGACAATTTCCAGCTCGCTGCGGTAGAGCTTCCCTCCGTCAGACAGGGTCATGATGCTCTGCTTGTAGCCCGTCAGGTTCTTCACATCCACCTCCTGAATAAGAGAGAGAGAGGGGGTTTTTGGGGAAACAATGGGTGCTTGATTTCAGACAGACGTCGACAGAAGAAGGACTTTCTTTTTTAGTTGAGCACTATTGATTTTGATGTCAGAAGTGAAAACTTTAGCGGGCAGATTTCATCAGCTTTAGCCAGCTTGCTATGCTAATTGTGAGCTGCCCCTCTAGTTATTTTTAGAGCCATGTAAAAGGGTCTTAAATATGCACTGGTTGGCTAGATTTATAATATAATGCAAAAAATAAGACAAAAAAACCAAAAAAAAGACGTGTAACTCTTAAAGCACCCACAAAGTGCATCACTAACTGCGCTGCCAAGTGGTGCTCGTGTGCTATTTGCACATATCTAAATTAGCTAATATGCTTACATCTGGTGCAAAATTAGCCCCTTTCAATGCAAATTAGCCTAATTGCAAGAACAGTCCAATTAACAAAGATCAGTGTTAATAACCAGACAGCAGCTACAGTGAAAATATGAGCGTCTTCAGAGACAGAGGTTGTAGCCAGGCGAACGCACCGATTATTTTGGGATGCAGTCACAGGATGCAATAACATTCATGTCATGAAAAAATAAATGAATGAAGCTCCCCCACATGTCATTTTGAAAATACATGGGAAACAAAAACAAGAAAAATGAATGAAAAATAAGGCTATTATATAAACAAATAACTTATTCACTCTCCCTTTCCAAACAAGGGGCTGATTGCACTCAGCTGCAAACATCTAAGTGCGTGTTTGTGCTCTAATATAATTAGTGCAATACCTTTTGTGAAGTGGACCTGGAAACGGGGCAGGCAGCGATTACAAATGATGCGCAATCCATGGTGCTATCAGCGGCCGTAATCTATTCTTTGTGAATGGATCCTTACCAGTTCATGCTCCATATAGAAGTACTGGGTACATTAACAGCATTGTTATTGTAGTGTGGAGCTAGTTAGCCCTAGTATTACAGTAGAGTATTGTAAATATGTTATAAAATTCATATTATGTTAATCCCCACAATGTCAACTAAACTAAACGTGAGTCCTAGACACTTGAAATACAAGATGCTGTGACTTTTTTTCTTTGTCAATTGGATATTTATGTGTCTGCATTCAGTCCCTGCTAACAAGCAGACTCCTGTGCTGTATTACTTTTCAGTCAGGGCTCACACCAATATACACATCCTGAATGCTCATAATAAAACAGTTGGTAAGCTTAAATAATTTAGAGGTATCGGTAAGTTTTTTGATCTTCTAGTATTGTAACTCTACCATACAGGTATAGCACATCAAAGATGTTTAAAATGCTTTTTTTCGGGTATATTTAGTTTCTGACACAATAATAATAATAAAATAATAATAATAATAATAATTGAAATAAAATGCACAGGGAGAGGAGAAGGAATGATCGGAAAGAAAATGGTATCGGGTGCCAGAGATCACAAGCCAGGTCTAAGCTCACAAAAAGTAAATGGTGCATATTGTTTGCCGCAGGGTCACAGTATACAAACCGCCTGTGAACCCTCACTAAAGCCCACGTCTCACCTTCTTGTTTTTCTGGTAAAGGTCTCGTAGCAGAGCATCTAACTCCTGCTCATCAATGTAGCCATTCCCATCCTGAAAAAAAGTTGACAGAAACACAACACGAATGTTATTTTCATCTCCAAACATTTAGAAAAGACTGGAAGGAAAATGTTCTTGCCTAAACTGTGTGAAGCAGCTATATTTAGATTCTGAGCTTCCTGATTTGTGTGCCCTGCTCTGCTCTGCTGCTCATTCAATATTGTATGGCAGCCATCACCAATGCACCAGCCAAATGACCATTCATGAATGATGATTTAAAAAAAGACTTCCCCATTCACAACCCTGTAAAGGGGGTTAGCTGCAAAGTCAACACCGAGCCAATTTGCTAATTAATGAGTTATGTCTTACAGTAGCACTTCGAGTTTGGGGGCCAAGAAATAAGTCCAAATGGTTGGAAATCTTCCCTTGGCAAGCGGAACAAAACCATGTTCTGTTCATCAAGGCTCGGTCTCAAGATAACTTCAGAGCTGAGTGGCTTGCCAGTCTTATTTTTTACTTTGGGAGATGCTCTTTGATGTTTACAAAGCTGGACTGAAGTGTCCCAGATCTAAAGATCCCAGGAATAAAGTGTGAATTATATTTACTTTCACTTTAAGTATGAAAGACCCGCAACTCTGCAGAGTTATGGGAAAGGAAAGCAACATCCGGTATCAGCTGGTCTGTCCGAGTTGCGTGCCATCTTGAAATTTCACAGTTCGGGGGCGGTAGCACCGTGAGCCATGTTAGCGTTCAGCTGACCGGACACTCTCCGCCCGGCCGACGATCTCTCAGTGACAGCGGCTGCCTATGTTTCAGCTGCAGGGGCTGAGCTCATAAGAAAATGATGAAACTAATTACGTCCACAAATGGTAGTGCTCCATTCCCACAGATAGTCTACATGAATGAATCGGGGTGGCTCGTCTATAATTGAACATTCAACCTCTGGAAGTGAGCTAGCTAGAGAGTGCTTGCCTTCAGTCCAACCCAAGACACGGACATGCACGCAACCGCCCACCCACTGCTATGATTTGGCCGGGCCTCTTAACTGAGGCCTACACAGTGGCAAGAAATAAAAGGTTCATTGTTGACCTTGGAAATACTACTTTGATAAAAAGAAGAAAAAACATTAGCACATCTACTGACTTTCTGGAGCTTTCAGCCATATCGCATGGACTTTATTGGCAGGAGAAAATAGAGTGTGGCTGTGGAAGATTAGCACCTTGTGCCAGTAATGTGAAGCCATGGAACTATAGCGTCAGATTATTTTATTGTTAGAGCCAAAAGTAGAATATACAAGTGCCAATTATTAGGATTTTTACAGTTAATTTTTCTCCTCTAATAGTTTTTTATTCAAAACAATTTGACATGTTCCCACTCACAAATCTAAAACAAACCTCTCACCATGGAATCTTAAGATACTCAAATTTGTCTTAAAACAAAGACTGATGCTTCACAATTCAACAGCAAATATTCTACATTATTTACTATATGAAATAATGCAGTGCAATATGGCACAGTGCTAAATAAACGACACAATTTTGTTCAAATAGAAAATGCCAATTACACTGCATCCAATGCTACCAATTTAAAAAAGATGAACTTTACAAATACAAAGTCCATGTTTTATTCCCCTCAAAAGTTAAGCAGTTGTCGTATCCATGCTGGATTTTACTTTACTGTGAACATACTCAGATGATTGTATTATGCATATTTGCCGTACACAATGAATGTTTGCTATAATAAATGTGTCCTGAAGTGGCTGAATGAGTAGATTTATGTAAAAAATAATTTAAATTAAAATGTTGTATATCGCTAACTACGATAGCTTTTAGCACATAAAAACTGAGCTAACAACCAAGTTAACTGGGCCGCTAGTGCTGTGCCACATCAAGCTGAGTTGTTAATTTCCTCAAAAATGGAGTCAGTCTTCTCACAGCTCCTAGATTATGCAGGTCGCGCACGCTGACAAAAACTCACAAGATATCCTAAACAAGAACAAATGACTTAGCAGATGATCAACTCTCCCCTCTAGTTCTGCTCTGTTCCCGTCTTTCTTATCTCATGTTGCTCCCTGTGGTCTCTCCCCACCGATCCACTGCTAATGTGGAAAATGAGCCCATTAACTGAACCACTGCTCCACCACCCTGAGCTGTTTACAAAGGGACAGGTGTGCCAAGCCTGACTCATTTCCCTGGGTGATTCGGGAGCGCCCTAGGTACGAAACAATGAATTTGCCTATTCATGATTTTACCAAAAGAGGAAACTCCAAAACAAACAGTGCTGAGTCATCCAGACAGCTTGACTCAGGAGTCCTGGCTATTTTATTTCTAGCTCTGTTGCAATTTCTTCATCTTTTACAGTGTAAATATACGGTAGACTCCCAACATCCTCTCACCATGTTAGCATATTAGCTTTCAGATACAGTACATTATTATGCAGACACAAACCTACCACCCTTATTCAAGCTAGCTCTTATCCCTGTCGATTCAAACAAATTTTGCTCAGAATACATGGACAGAATTTCCCGGTTTTCATGACGACAGATGATTAAAACCATCTATGCCAAAATGCTAGTGAAAGAGAAACTGACACAGAAGTGGGGCCAGACTTCAGCTGTGTGTATGAGAAGAGTGTGAGGAAATAAGCCACGAGAAGATGGGTACACTGTGGTCATAAAGGGATGGCAAAGGTCAGGAACAAGAATCAGGTTGGACTTTTAAACAATGCAGCAGTCTGGCCATTCTTCTCTGACCTCTGCCATCAACAAACCATTTTCACCCAGAGAACTTCTGCTCGGGTCCGACATCACAAGGGGTTTTAAGTGGGCTCTGTTCCGCTCAGTTGTATTTCTTGCCCCCTCTGTTGACGGTATACTGCAGACAGAACATGGTTTCTTACGCCTGAATTATACTTCTGCGGCTGTGCATCTATACGTGCTGTGCTGAATGGTGCAGGCATGTCATTTCTTTGTGATTTGGACCCGAATTCAGTTAGTTCCATATCAGTTTGGCCCAACTTAAGTAACTCCATGGCTGGAAAAAACAATTACGGAAGTGTTGAATGATGAGGAGGGGCTTCTGTGCCTCAAATTATTAAGGAGAAAAAGAGAGAAAAGAGAGCTTTATGATTTGGCCTGCTTGGTTTTCGTGGTTGTTAAATGAACCTCTGGCCCTAATTTCCTCTCTCCCGCGTTGTAGCAATCCACAGACAGTCAACAAGACAGAGACATGCAGGCCGCCTCCCCCTGCTGATTTTGACGGAGAATCGTTCAAGATTTCAACAAATATTTAGCGCTCTGTTCGTGCTATGTTTAAAAAGTGCTCCGATTAATAAATTAATTCTTTGATTTTGAAACAGCCGCCTTATGTGTCTGTAATTTAGCCTTTCAGAGACAATCGCACGTCTGGTGTTTGGTGGGTGTGTATTTATTGCTCCCTTGACAAAAGATGTCACCTACCTTGTCATAGAATGTGAAAATGGCATTGAACTGCTCAGTGGTCAACTTGACACCCTGCAAAAAACAACAACAAGACAAGACAAAAACTCAATCACTGCTACACTAAAGCAAGTTATCCAGGGATGTTAATTGGGTATAGCCATTCCGTTTTGCATGAACATTTCTTTCTGCCCCATGTTTGTTCCGTACCTGGAATTTGAGTAAGAAATTCTCCTGAACGGGGAGCAGCCTGTGGGGAGAGAAGGACTTCATTAGCGGACACGATAGTTAGTTAAATTATTCAAATCCATCGACGGTGAATGAACATTAGCAGGCAATGTGTCTTAACATTTATAAAGCGAACAGAGGCAAGTCAAATTGCATTTTACCTTGCCATCTCTGACAGGCCCAACTTCCCATCTCCATTCAGATCAAACATCCTGAGCTACAAAATGGAAGCAGGACAGAGATAGAAAGGGACAGAGGAGAGAAACTAAAAGAACAGTTTTGTATAGGTATGTGCTGTCAAGATGAAGGCAAATATGGTCCCATGAATTTCATTGACCGAGAAATTGAATGGACAGTTTGTGCTTTTATTATAAACCCTTGACTTTTTTTTTACAGAGGACCTGTAATGGGTTTTTTGGTGCCTGTGAATCTACTGTTTATTATTTAGTATCTATTATTATTTGGCAAAAATCTATCAACTTGCTGTTTTCCCTTGATGGTATCTTTCACCATCTGCGGCTATATTAGAGGCAAATAGAAAACAACAATGACCAAGTGTATCTAGGATTGTGCTGTGGAAACCGCTTTGGAAAATCAGGTCAGGTCAGCTCTGGGGCTTCCAGCAAGAAGCAGATGTTAGCACATCTGTGCTGTAAACCCACAACCTGCAGGACATGATGGGTCACGGCCACTCAGCCACACAGCGCCGTCGCCACCAACACGATAGGCCTCTGAGGTCCTCCGGGCAAATGGACAATTGAGATATACATTTCATAAAGACTGCTTATGGCTCACAGTGTTTCTGTAGGCTTTATTGCTGTTTCCGAGATGTTTGCTTTTTATTTAAGTTTAGCCATTTATAGTTATTTTTACTACTTTGAGAGGCACTGATGCAAAATTAGTACCTCACTTGTGGTTTCTGCCAGGCGCCAACCTCCGGTTCTGGAAAGTGAAACGATTGTGAAAGTGCCGTAAACATGCATTCTTTCTAGTGGCCATCAGAGGCGACTTGAAGAAGTCCAGTTTTATAGAACTCTTTGAGAAAATGACTCTACTTCTCATTAGATTTAGTGTTTTAGTAATTGTTTTAGTAATTGTTATTCAGCATTCAGTTGTACTTGGCTTCACCCTCTCATTTCTGGTTGCAAAAAAAGTCCAAAAATGGAGTGGTCCAAAAATGAAGATGGCAATGGCCAAAAATGCTGAACTCGAGGCTTCAAAATGACCATAAACCAATAAGTGACGTCACGGTGACTACGTCCACCTCTTATATACAATATATGAACCACTATAAGAACCACTATAAGAACCACCATAGTGCAAACTGATACATACATGTAGGTGCAAGGGAACAAGACGTAACGTTAGTGAATAGGAGGGTAACAATGTGGGAACGTCAAAGGAATTCATGCTACTGGATACCTGTTTTCTTATTACATGTTACTGTATGACACACCTCATAAAGAACTGCAAAGTACAATTTTGAATCGACATGGAGACGAAAAAGTTGGACAGTCGACATCGTCTGTCTAATTAATCTCTCCTGCATTTTCACATCAAATCTAATTTTGTATCTTGCTCAATCAGTAAAGTAAAGTAAATGCCATGGAAACAGAGCCGAGGTCAGGTATAAAAAGGCATTAGACTCTTTGCAATTCGACTTGGACACGAGTTGGAAACCTCTTGTAAAGCCAAACTAAGCGAACTGGAGAAAATCTACTTGAAAACTTGTTGGAAAACAAATAAGCATAACTCAGCTATTGTTGTAAACCGAGGAGCCTGAAAATGGCCCTCAGTTGTCCGCTGGTTAAGGAGGAGCAGCTTCCGAAGGGGGACCGATGTGAGCTGGACAATAACCCTGCTGGTAAGACAACTTTTAGATATATTTTGTCATCTTTCTTATTCTTTATCCCTCTAGAATCCTTTCAAAGCTTTCTCAGAGGAGAAATCAGTGCAACTTTTTAGGTTTAAAGTTGAACAGTTTACTGAGCATGAAGTTTAGCCCAACAGAATGGGGATAACTGGACAATTACACTTCTGCATCTGAGATTCCTCATGTGTGTGTGACTGTGTGTGTGTGTGTGTGTGTGTGTGTGTGTGTGTGTGTGTGTGTGTG